TTTTTATTTTAGTCTCTATAAAAATGTGACTATTAAAAAAGAGTGGAACAAAAAAAAGTTGTCTAGAAAAACCTTCGAAAGTATTAGTAGGAAGAAAAGAAGTAACTTTCTTTCTTTTTAACTATAGTTTACATCAAATTAAACAGATATATAGCAGAGTTCTCGTTTTTTACTTAGTTTTTTTTTTTTGGTTTTTTTTTTGCTGATGTCAATTAGGAAAAATAAAATTGTTAACACCTTCACTAAATATGAAAAAAAAATTGTGCGTACAGATTTGTTCAAATATATTTTACTGCTTTTTGTTTGATCTTTTCAAACGATAGTTTAAGCAGAAAAAAAAAATGGAATTAAAAATTCTTGTTCTTCTTTTTCGTTTTCAATGTAATGATATGGAAAATTTTGTTCCTTTAACTGTTGTATAATATTGTTGAAGCATTCAATTGATGCCTAAATAGGCATATATAGTTTACAAATCGAATACGCTCTTTTCAATCACTAAACTGATTTTTCATTTTATTGAACTAATACAAAAAAAACAGAAATAAATAAACAAATAAATAAAAAATTATATATTTATGTGTATATTTATATATATATGAAATATTACAACTTATCTTTGCAGCATTCATCTCTTCTATCGGTAATCTGCTGTTTCTGAAAAGAGGAAAAACAAAAAAAAAGGAAGAACAAAAAACTTAACACCAACGACTGACGAAAGCACAATTGTGCAGTAATTAATTCAGTTCAATGAACGAATAATTTTTTCCTCTCAAACTTCATTATTTAATTGGTCTCAACGACGAACAACAATTTGCATTCAAATCACATCAAAATTTTTTTCATAATTAATGAGCAGGTAATAAATATTTATTTAACTATAATGCTTACTTTACCTTCAATTAGTGTATAATAAACAGTACAAAATTTTTTTTAGTCACCCACCCGAAACATTTTTTGAACCGGAGCCTGATTACGATGATAATATTGTTGAGGTTCCAGAGCCAGATGCTCATAGTTTGCCCACAGATCTTGCTCCTACCTCGTATCATTCAAACAGCTATGAACATCGGCATTATGATCGACCAACTTCACTGACGCAACCAAGGCATCTTTCCGACTCTAAAAAACGGATTTCTGGAAGCTCAACTCCGGACACTTTTGCTGAATCACCTGTTGGTCAAAAAAGTAGCCCAGGAAATTACAGTGCACCAAATACATTGAACAGAGCGGAAACAAGAGCAATGCCTGAGAACCTTATGCACCGCCAGCAGCGAAACGGCAACCCATACGATGCAGAAAATTCAGATTTCCTAGACGAATACGAATACAGGATAGAGAAGGTACCTACAATGGAGCAACAACGTCATTCTTCTAGGAAAGACATTAAGAATTATATCAGAGCAGTCGGTGGTGTTCCTGTGCTACCTCCTCCTCTCCCAAAAGATCGGCCAATGTTCCCGTCATCGACTCCAAGTAATCATCAAAAAATAAAAGCAGTAGATTTGCTTGTCGTTTTGGTCAGAGTAATAAAAAGAAAATGAAAAAAACTTTTTGGTAAATCACGAAATAGGAGCACAAGATACATCCATTCTACAATGTAAAAGCTGATTTTACCCAGAAACTGAAAAAATGTCCTTGATATTGGCTTTTTGTGATTTACATAAGCTTTTTTATATTGCTTAGCAATGAAAAAAAGACGCCTAAGAATTTTACAGGCTAACAGAATGATTTAAAACAACAATATGTTTAAGGTATTGACATCACAGATAATATGGCTTTTAAACAGCACGTACGAAACCATCAACGATTCGATACTTTAGGCTCTTTTAGGTCAAATCTTTTCAGAACATTAATTTTGCGTATTTTAACAGTAATTTCTTACCAAATAATAGCAGTGGTTACTTGTTGACATATTTAGGTCTTGTGAACAGTGTGCAATATGCAAGTCGTATATGAATGAAGTTGAAAAGGCTCAAATTGCTAGTCTTGAAAAGCGGTATTCTTATTCTAAATTTAGACAGTTTTCATTGTACTCTCTGTATAGTACTTCTATCTTTTCAGTCAACTTTTACTATTATTTTTAATTTAAAAACTAGTAAACCTTTAACATATTTTTTAATGTTTTTTTTAAAATTACTTTCAGTAAACGGGGCTCCAGGAGAGAGGCCAACAAGAAGCAGTCAAAAATTGTTACTGGTGAAGCATTTGAAAAAATGAAAGAGGATGCAGTAGAAGCACTTAATGATCTAGAACGATATATGGGC